CTTGATTTCCCCATCTAAAAACTAGGTGCATCTTGTGGTCCAGTGCGTCCTATAGAGAGAAAAATACGGTAAATTTCTCTGCATCTGCATATCTGTTTCTGCCCAAACAAACACACACACACACACACACAGAGACACTACATAGCTGAACAAGCTCATCTTTAAGCCACAGCTTCATCCCAATCTATGCACAGTCCCCTCTGATAATTGTTGTCAGAGCTGCCCTAGGTCCCAGCTCACAAAGGACCAACGCCAGTTCGTTGTTATATAAAACAGTCTTTATTGAAGCTCAGTTTAGCTTTTACATCCGCGGCGCGCAGCTGTATGTCTCAAACTCTAGACCGCCGAAGCTCCGTCTGAGTCTCCTCCCCCCAGACACCAGTTTAAGACTCTAGCCTTGCTCCACCTCTTCCTTTGCTCTTTCCTCCTCTGGGTCCGCCTGTCCGCTGGGGTCTTGCCCTTCCTAGACTCTTCTGACGCTGAGTCCCCTGAGTTTTCCCCCTGCCTCCGGCGGGCTTTAGGACCTGGTTCCCAATCCGGGTTTTCTGCTGTCCCGCGCGCCTGTACATTCGAACTTGGCGTGCGCGCCCAGCCGGCCACCTTCCTCCTGACCGTTACACTGCTCCTGTCACTGCTTCCCCCTTCAGGGAGGCTAGCTGGACCTGACCTCCCCTCCGTTCCCCCACTCTCCGATAGAGGCGTGGTCAGCCCTGACTCCTCTTCCCTCCCTGCTGGAGGAGACGCTGGCTCTGACACATGGGACTCTTCCCCCCCACTACGCTCTGGTGGGGAAGCTGGTCCTGATCTCCAGCTGCTGCTTTGGGAGTCCCCGCTGGCCCCTTGCTTCTGGTGCGTCCCCCCTGGGACCCCCCTTGCCCTGACCATCGGCGCCCCCTTCTGGGAATCTTCTGATTCGCTGGAGAGGCTCATGGAATCTCTCGGGTCACTGTCATTCTCCCCTCCGCTGCCCTCAGATTCTTCCCCTTCGCTCTCCATTTCCTCTCTCCCCTGTGCCTCTGCTCCTGAGCCCCTGACAATTGTACCCTATCACTGGGTTCCCTGTCAGTTTGGGGACTGCAAACTTAAGTGATAGTATACTTTGCATGTGTCAAAACAGCCATCATAGCTCAGTCACCTCTGACAGAGCTAAGCTATTTCTTGAACTTAGCAGCAGTGTAGTGGTAAAAGTTCAAAGTAGAAAGAAACATAACAGACAGCTATTAATGTTTAATTGTTTTTAATTATTGGGGTTTTTCTTAAGTTTTTAGCTGGTTCTATTTTATCTCTGAGCCATCTTGAGTCCCTGCCAAAGGAAAAGGCAGGATACCCAAATAGGAGTAGATAGCAAAAGGTATAGCCAAGTAACTTCTACTCAGGGTAGAGCCATTGAAATTAATGGACCTAAGTTAACCATGCCTATTCATTTCAGTGGCTCGTCTCTGAACAGGACCAGCATTGGATACAACCCAATATACCAAATCAATGGGATCAGCTGACAGCCAGAGAAAAGTGAGCTGGCAAAGGGTGAGGTAGGAACTGGCATGCTGGACTTTGGCTGGAGAGACCTGGGTTCACACACCTGGTCAGTCGAGGGGGGTGGTTCATGGTATGACCTTGTGCCAGTCCCTGAATGCAGCTGCATCCACTGGGAGTTACAGGATGCAGGAGGCCTTCCTTTCAACTCTCACTCATTGCAAGGGGGCCTTAGGCAAGGCAAATATTTCAGCCTCAGCTTCCTATGATTTCCCTACAGCAAGGCAAGAAATGTGGTTTAGAGGATGGGGATATGTAGTCACGGCAGCAGTCTGCTCACTGCATATAAGTCAACTTGCTTATGTGAATTGCTTCTTTGGGAGCACAAAGGTTCCTTGTGACCTTGCACCTTAGCCAATCCTAACCACAGCCCAGGCTATGGGGAGAGACTGTAGCTCTGTAGCAGAGTGTGTGTTTTACATGCGGAATGTCCCACTTTATCCTTGGTATCTCCAGGTAAAAAGACCAGGTAGTATGTGCTGTGAAAGCAGGCAATATTGGAATAGATGAACAGATAATCTAATCTGGAATAAGGCAGCTTCCTACTGCCCAGCATGGTGGGTGCTTGTGGCTCAAATGCAAAACAGGCAGAATCCAGGTCAGAAGTCCAGATCACACAAAGAGTAGACAGGACCTCGGAGAGTTCTCAAGGGTCCTGCTACAAGAGTTGCTGAGGATGCTGTCTCTGTTGGGTGGTAGATCCAACTGAAACCAGGAGGAGATGGCTAGCAAGCACTCCAGGTCTCTGGGTCATTTCTGAATGTTGCTCTTCAATCTCTAGAATAACTTTGTTGTAACTTTACCCAAGAGTTTTTTCTTCCACTGGGTGTGCAGTGGCAATCCCCATGCAACTCTAAGTAAAGGTAAAGGGACCCCGCTCATCTCGCTTTATTGGCCGAGGGAGCCGGCGTACAGCTTCCGGGTCATGTGGCCAGCATGACTAAGCCGCTTCTGGCGAACCATAGCAGCGCATGGAAACGCTGTTTACCTTCCCGCCGGAGTGGTACCTATTTATCTACTTGCACTTTGACATGCTTTCGAACTGCTAGGTGAGCAGGAGCAGGGACCAAGCAATGGGAGCTCACCCCGTCGCGGGGATTCGAACCGCCGATCTTCTGATCAGCAAGTCCTAGGCTTTGTGGTTTAACCCACAGCGCCACCTGCTCCCCTCCTTTTAGGTGAATCTAAATTCCACCTCCTCCTCTTTACTGCTGGCATTATTGGTCTAATTTTAAAATTAACAGTGAACTGCTCAAGAGCATCAGATGCCACAATAAATTTACGAACAAATTGAGAGCAGCCTCAATTTGCAATCTTGTGAAATTTTGTTTATTACACCAAGTGCTAGTTGTGATGTAACACATTAAAATCCAGATTGGCCTTCCAAGAGACTTTTCAAGTTCATAAATTTAGACTCTGCTTTTGAAAGGAACTGGAAGGGAGGACGACCATTTATAAGACAAGATGCAGCTGTGGAAAACAAGATAGACCAATAAATCAAGCTGAATTCTCTCCAACATGATTGTCTCTATCATCAACAGGTATTTGAGAGGCTTTTACTGGAAGACAAGTTATGCTATGATCAGTTTGTTAGAATTCCTGCTCCATGATTGCAGTCATGGGATTTTTGTCTATCACATGACGGTGTATGTTTTGACTCCACAGAGTGGGAAGTGATGGAGACAGGATGTTTGTGTTACTGTGTTCTATTGTCCTTTGTTCTTTCTCTTTGCTGTCTGATGCTAGAGAGAGAGGGAGCCATGCAGTGCTCCGTGTATGTAAATAAAGTAGATTAGCCAAAATGCGGAGTTGCTGAGGTCTGTCATGCAAGCTGCGAAGACTCTGCGGATCCCTAAGTGTGCCAATGTCTGTTGTCATCAGTCGCTGTGATGTTCGGGCAGAAGAAAGCTTATGGAGCTCCCGAACGAACGACCAGGAGGGAGAGAACATGCCAGTCGGGCATGTGTCTCTGCCAGGATCCTACTCGAGAGTAGGACGAGCTCCTGACAACAGTCATGGGCCCAGGGATCAGGGCCACAGACCCAGTGCCAGCAGAGGAAGAACCGAGGACTGTTTTTGTACCGGTTGGAGTCTCCTGGAACCAGCAGCGTGAGGCAAGCCTCTTCAGAGATGGAAGCAGGGAAAGCTGCAAGGAGATAGTGAGTAAAGCCTGTGCCTAATAGCAAAAGTAAAAGGCAAGCCGGCAGAAGAAGGTTTGATTTATAGCCATCTGATAAGAACAGCTTGGACTAAGCTGCAGAATGGACCTTTTGGAGGGGTAAAAAAAATAAAAATCCCAAGTCCCTGAGTTACATAGAGGGAATGCCTGATGCGGCAGGTCTTTGCCGAGAAAGTAGCCTTGATTTATGTGCCACAGAAGGGAGGACATACCCCGATGCTTATGAAGCTGGATTCGCGCAGCGGCAAGCTTTGACAAGGCAATAGCTGTTTGTGAAACATCAGCTATGGGGGAGGGAGCAATTTCCCCCAATGCTGCGTTGAAGTAGCAGGCATGAACTTTGAGAAGACAGGATTCTTCTGATTCTCCCTGTGAGTTTGGGAATGTGGAGGAGCAGTGATTTTGTTCCCAAAGCTGCAAAAGCAGTTTGATGCTGTGTCTGATGCCAACAGCCAGAGTGTGTGATCAGCAGGAATTTCATCTGCAACACACTTGGACATTCCAAGATGGCGACAGGCTATCTAGGATGCCAGAGAAGTTTGGAGAGGTGGACTTTGCTGTCTACGATGCCCACATTATATGGGAGGCAATGGTTCCTGAAAGCAAAAGCTCCAGTTGTGTTTGGAGGCGTTTTAGAGGAAAATTGCATTGTTTCCTGTTCGGGGAGAGGACTCTCCAGAATGGAAGGAGAAGAAGGGGAACTGACTGTGACATCATCGCAACCATCACTGCAACCAGTGGAAAGCAGTGGAAAGTTTGTCCTGTGAGAAGTTTGGACAGATTCCAAGCAGGAAGGTTTGCAGCATTTCTGACAGGTGACATGAAGTAAGGCCAGAGATACAGAGCTTCAGTGCAGAGATGGTGACTAACTGTTCCAGGGCAGAGGTGCAAGAATCTCTTGTGCTAGAATCTGAAGCGAAGGCACACCTTTGTGGAAGATGGGACTGGTTCACCAGGTGTACGCCACAGAAGGATTCGATCCACCAGTTGAGTGGAGATTCGTTGGGGGTACATAGCACCTGGATCGTAGAACTGAAAAGCTGTAACGGTGTGATGTCTAACATGTTTTTCATTCCAGGTCAAGAAGCCCAGATGGTGCAGCGTGGCTGTTCTGTTTATGGCAACAAACAGAGTGAAACAACCCAGAAGAGCGAAAGCGACATTTTACATTGTGATGTTTATTGTGTAAATGGCTTGTTCTTGCTATGTTATAATGTTAACATAGGGGATGGTGGAATGGTTCAAGAGACATGTAATGTTTTGTCTGTTAACCATGTTTTTCATGCAGGTTGTAAGCATGAAGGTCCCAGATTGCTGCTGTCTGACATGAAGATGGTCAGATGTACCAGTGCTCAAGACAAAGCAAAAGGGGGAAGCAATGTGGGTATTTTACAAAAGCACCCTATTGGTGATGATGACAGTGAAAAGGCAAACCCGGAAAAAGCCAAGATGCCAATGATTGGATCTGACATGTGGGTTCCAAAGTCACAGAGCGATATGCTCGGCAAACATAGTTTGCAAGGTCTTTCCCTGGATTCAGACAGTTTCTGATGGGAAATGTGACAAGATAAACCCGGGAAAAGCCAGGATGCCAATGGATGGGTCTGACATGTGGGTTGAGACATCACGAGGCAGGGAGCATAGATTCTTCCTGTGGTATGGAAGCTTGTACAGAGTACTAAAGCCTCATACCAAGCTGATTTTACTCACTGGGGATGTTGAGTGCAGAGCAGGGGGGAGGGAATGTGTGTATTTTCCTAGGCTACCCCATTGCCCCATAGATACTAAGTCTGTTGCTGTTATAAACAGCAGGTGCACTGAGGCGAGTTCCACTGATACAGTGGAGGAGATGCGCCAGGTGCGCAGATCAGGAGGAGCTACGAAGGGTGGGAAGCCAACCAGGTATGCTCAGGAGTTTGCTAACACAGCTGTTGCAGATTTAGCTGTGGTTAGTGGCTCGACACAGGTCTTGAAACCCAGAGTCTTGAAAGGGGTACAGGGTTTGTCCTCAAGGTACGGGAAACCACGCCCAAAGGCTGTAAGGGTAGACACAGAAGAAAGCTTATGGAGCTCCCGAACGATCGACCAGGAAGGAGTGAACATGTCAGTCGGGCACGTGTCTCTGCCAGGGTCCTACTCGAGAGTAGGATGAGCTCCTGACACAGTTTTGATGGCTGAAGTTGTGCAGGAACATGTACATCAGCTGGTAAATGAATGTTCACTGCAGCTAAGATTGTCATTGGTGTCATCATACAGTGTGGGGGAGGGGGAGCACAAACAGGTTCTTAAATAATGTGCCCAGGGGGACAAGTTGTGTTTTCTTTTGTTTCATGTGCCTTTGTTTTGAAGATGTGTGGAACTTGATTTCTAGGAGAACGGGGGAACGTAACAAGGGGAAATGATAACAAATAACTTTGAAGAGATGGAAAAGCTTAAGCATGGGAAATTATATAAAGAAACAGAAAAACTGGAGATATAGTTATCGTTACTAATATCATGGTTTGGAAGAATATTGGTGATTAAATATACATTGCCAAAATATTATTTTTAATTATAAGCATCCCTCTATTAGTGTCACCACTGATGTTGGTAAAATGTCAGAAACTGATATTACATTTCAAACATAGTAGGTTATTAAATTAAATAATGGTTCTCAAACAATAGAATTCTAGAAGCAGAAGAATTATGATAAAAAGGAAATTCAAAAATTTGTTGTGGTACAAAGGTTTCTCAGAAAACATTTTGTGAAAAGTACTCTATTCATTATAAAATGTTTCACATGGAATTAAAAACCAGATTTGTCCAGGATGATCATCGTTAACTACACTATGTCATAATGAATTTTTGAACCCTATAAACCATATATCATAAAGACACCACAATCTCCACTGTGCCTCATTTCCAAAAGGAAATATGGACCCTGGGAAAGTGCCTGGAACCCCTGGAATCTGGCACTACTCAGAGATGGGAGCGGAAGGCAACAATATTTTTGCTTCTACTTTATCCTTTGTCTAATCCTGTATCCAGCTGGGACTGCCTCCATCCATTTTCAAACAGGGGAATTAAATAATCTGTGTTGAGTTTTTATTTTCAGAATGAAACCTGCTTGTGAAAAAGTAGCTTTCAGTGGCATAAAATATGCAATAGGTCTAGATTTGTGTTTTGATTAGGTAGAGAAAAAAAACAAAATCTCAGCATGCACTCAATGAGCCTGAGTGTGAGTGACCAGCCCCACATGTGGTCCTGCAGCAAAAACTGTTCTCAGCCATCAAATGAGAAGTCCTTTGCACTGTTGAGCATTTAACCTTGCTTCCTCCCTAGTTCCTCACCTCTTGCTTTATAAGGAAGCTAAATAATTGGTGCATCTAACTCCCCTTAATGTGAGACATAGGTGTGTGTGTTTTAAAATCCTAAAGCTTGTAAGGGAGAGGAGGTAGGGGGAAGGAGAACATTACTGAATATTACAATATAAATCCTGTTGAGACATTACAAATCCCCACATGGTCTGAGATGCATTTCAGATGACTCAACCAGCAGGGGATGGATAATCAAATATGCCTCTACAAAGAAATAAACTATACAACAGAGACTATCAAGGAACTGGAGGTATGCATGAGGCATATTTGAGAGTGTGCATGAAAAATAAACAGAAGCATCTCAGACTCATTATGTGCCTGAAATTTGCCAGAGGCTGAGGCCCTGCTATATTGCGGAGAGGATTTGCTAGGGGAGGTTTGCAGAGAGACTGCAGGAGAAGGGAAAGAGGGCTGGAATCTGGAATTAAGCAGCCAGACACTTTGACATCTCCCACCCACACTCCTGGGGTAGCAGAGGAGGAGATGTTAAGACGACATGAGATATGCTCTTTTGGGTGAATGTGCCTGTATTAATCCTGAAGCACTGAGGACAGAGGCCAAATTCTAGGGTAATTTAGAGCTGAGCTGAAGCTTTTGGAAACAAAGGGGAGGGAGCACAAAGGAAAGGAGGAAGAAATTGGCAGAGGACCATGACGAAAAAATGTTTTAAAATTCAGGGTTAGGAGATTTACTTAGACAAGTGATGATGGCACCAGCTTGCTCCCCCGCCCCTTCTTCTTTTGTTTGAACTTAATCGCTCTGCTGCTGTAAAGTAATGATGGCTAACTGCATGCTATTTCCAGTATCAGAGCAGGCATGCATTTGAATATGATTTCTTGGGAATCACAAGTGGAAAGAGTCCTAGTGTGCTCAAGTTTGACTTGCAGGCTTTCCATAGACCACTGGTTAGCCACTGTGAGACGGCATTCGCTGGTGGTGCAGCTGCTGCTGCCTCCACTATAGCTGGGTCTCTGCAAGGCCATCATGCACTGGAATGGCAATGGGAGCTGCAGGTGCCTTCCCAGGATCGGTGGCCAACTAGAATGAAATATTGCGGGGGCCCAGGTAAGCCCCACCCCACAAAATCAATCACATTATATGGTGCATGCATACTATTTGAATGGCAATGTCCATCAACTTTGCAGGGGTCCAACTCTTCGTGACCCCATGGACCAGAGCACGCCAGGCACTTCCGTCTTCCACTGCCTCCCGCGGTTTGGTCAAACTCATGCTGGTAGCTTCGAGAACACTAATAATAATAAAAAAATTTATTTATATCCCGCCCTCCCCAGCCGAAGCCGGGCTCAGGGTGGCTAACAACAATAAAACAGTACAAAAGTACAGCATAAACAACACTCTAAAATCATTCATTATAAAATTAATTAATTCAAGCCACTGGCAACCATTGGGCCAGAGCTCCGCGAAGATTGCCGAGGGAGGGAGTCAGGCTGCGCCCTGGCCAAAGGCCTGGTGGAACAGCTCTGTCTTGCAGGCCCTGCGGAAAGATGTCAAGTCCCGCAGGGCCCTGGTCTCTTGTGACAGAGTGTTCCACCAGATTGGAGCCACAGCCGAAAAAGCCCTGGCTCTAGTTGTGGCCAGTCTAACTTCTCTGTGGCCTGGGACCTTCAAGATGTTTTTATTTGAAGACCGTAAGTTTCTCTGTGGGGCATACCAGGAGAGGCGGTCCCGTAGGTACGAGGGTCCTAGGCCGTATAGGGCTTTAAAGGTTAAAACCAGCACCTTAAACCTGATCCTGTACTCCACCGGGAGCCAGTGCAGCTGGTATAGCACCGGGTGAATGTGATCTCGCAGCGAAGACCTCGTAAGGAGTCTCGCTGCAGCATTCTGCACCCGCTGGAGTTTCTGGGTCAGTCTCAAGGGCAGCCCCACGTAGAGCGAGTTACAATAATCCAGTCTGGAGGTGACCGTCACGTGGATCACAGTGGCTAGGTCAGGGCGAGAGAGGTAAGGAGCCAACTGCTTAGCTTAGCGGAGATGGAAAAATGCCGCCTTTGTTATAGCTGCAATCTGCGCCTCCATGGAAAGAGAGGTGTCGAAGATTACACCCAAACTCTTAACGGACGGTGCTGGCACTAATTGCGCCCCTGCAAGAGATGGGAGTTGCCCCCCCCCCAATCCCATATCGCCCCATCCCAGCCACAGGACCTCTGTCTTCGAAGGATTTAGCTTCAACCGGCTCCCACGTAACCATCCAGCCACAGCTTCCAAACATCTGGTCAGTGTGTCTGGGGCCGAGTCAGGATGGCCATCCATCAACAGATAGAGTTGGGTGTCATCGGCATACTGATGGCAACCCAGCCCAAAACTCCGAACAAGCTGGGCGAGGGGGCGCATAAAGATGTTGAAAAGCATCAGGGAGAGTATCGCACCCTGAGGTACTCCACACACCAAGGAGTGGCGCGATGACAATTCCCCCCCAAGCGCCACCCTCTGTCCCCAACCAGAGAGAAACGAGTGCAGCCATTGAAGGACTGTGCCCTGGATCCCCACATCGGCAAGGCGGTGGTCCAGGAGTTCGTGATCGACCATGTCGAAAGCTGCTGACAGATCTAGAAGAATCAGCAGCCCTGACCCGCCTCGATCCAGCTGTCTACGAAGATCATCTGTTAGGGCAACCAGAGCCGTCTCGGTCCCATGACCAGCATGGAAGCTGGACTGGAATGGATCCAGAGCCGATGTTTCATCCAGAAATCCACCAAGCTGTTCAGCAACCGCTCTCTCAATCACCTTACCCAGGAACGGAAGATTCGAAACGGGCGGCAATTGGATAGATCTAAAGGATCTAATGATGTTTTCTTTAAGAGCGGGCGCACCACTGCCTCCTTCAGTTCCCCTGGGAATGTCCCCGTGCCAAGGGACAAATTGATGATATCCCCCAGGAGGGCCCGCACCTCGCCTGGACATGCTCTAATCAGCCAAGACGGGCACGGGTCGAGAGGACAGGTGGTCGGCTTTCCAGCTCGGAGGAGTCTGTCCACATCGGCTGAGGATATCCAGTCGAAG